TTTTAAATAAGCCTGCTTTTAAAGACACTTGAAGCTTTTGGAAAGCCTCAAAATATAATGTGCTTTTGAGTCATATGGTCCATGATGGTGTGAAAAAGAATGAGAAAAGTGCCAGCCCCTATGGAGTTGGTGGTGGCTCACACTGCAGGCAGAGTTTGGGAATAGAACAGATGCAAAACTCTTCCAGAACTCTCAGCTGATGCGCGGAGATCCAGCCTCTCCTGACACATCTAAAGCACATCCCCAGAGCTCACCTGAGATCACAGGACCAGAAAAAAGATGCTGCCCAGAAAAATGCAATTCAACTTCTGGAATAAAGTTGCTATAGGAATCCAAAATATCATTGGCATTAGTCCTGTGATGAGTTCATTTAACCCATGTGGAATCCTGATTCTTTTCATGCATTGTTCTCTATAGCTAGAAATAAAGTTTATTTGAGCTGATTAGTACAACATTTATGAATTTCAAATGCTTTTAAACAAAATAGATTTATTATTATTCTGTTGTTGCTGCTGATGCCTTTAGTTTCTTTCTTATCATGAAAAGTCAATACCTGTGCATTTTAAAAAATACAAGTGATTAAAAGAATGACATCACCATTCCAAAAGAATCACGGTTAATTTTCTAGGACCATTTCTACACAACCACGTATTTCACATTTATAAACATGTCATCACCACTGATATTCTACTTGTAATTAGCTTTTTATAAAAGTTAACATGAAATCATCCCCCATTACAATATTCACATTATAGTGTTATTTAAAAATGAAAAGAATTCAAGTGTATGATTATAACTTAATACAGTCAGCCATTTGTTTTTTAGCATTTATCCTGCTTCAAATGTTATTTTGTTTTTAAAATACATTTTGATAGACATTTTTAAATATTTTTTAGAAATGGAATTCCTTAAAAATACAACCAATTTATACACATAACAAGAAAGTTTCAATCCACTTGTTTAACACATGAGAACCTACTTTGGGGCCAGGAAAAATTATTCTGGTCACTGGAAATTCAACACTTAAAAAAAAAGACAAAATATCCAATTCTCGTGGTGCTTACTGAGCAGTATATGGGAAGGTCTGTTTCCCTGATCTTGTATAATAATATAATAAGCCTTTTACATTCTTTGCAGCTTTGGGAGGAGGAAAAATCCTAGTTATTTTAATACTTCATTACTAATGTTGATTATTTGTTTAAATGCTTATGGGCTATTTGCATGTAATGATTACATTTTTTTCTCTTTGAATGCTTAAGCCAACCAATACCCGTTCATGCTGATGTAAGGCAGTTTTCACCGGAGAGAGGAACAGTTGCTTATAAATTGTATGGCAAGTCATAAATATTTGTTATGATCATTTAGGCCTTTTAAAATAGAAGTCGTCATTTAAAAAAGATAATTTACAAAGTTTCTTTATGAAGCATCACCAATTCCAAGTGGTCTAAAATTTACAAAGATAGGGTATGAATCACAAAAATGAAAAGAACCACTCTTTAATGCTGATACTACTTTCTAATTGTTGTGCATGTTAATTGATGTGTACATTAGAAATCTTGCAGTTAGGGATAGCCTTCAGTCTCTTACAAAAATTCCTCCATCGGGTGGCGCCTGTGGCTCAGTGAGTAGCGTGCTGGCCCCATATACCAAGGGTGACGGGTTCAAACCCAGCCCCAGCCAAACTGCAACAACAACAAGAACAATGACCAAAAAAAAAAAAGAAAAGAAAAAAAACCTCAAAAATTCCTCCGCCAACAGAACAATCAATCTTAGAATTACCAATGCATTTGCATTGTAATTGCATTTTACCATTTCTATCTTTCATGAATGCAAAGGCACTAGAATGAAATAATCCTCTAGAAAATAGTCATCCAAGAGCTGTGTCTACTACATCCAAAAATTACAATTGAGAGGAACTTTGCAAAAGTTGGTGGTTATTTAGATGGCGACATTCCTTTTCATGTTTATGTAGTTCTTGCTCAGCAGTCAGCACAGGGAGCAGAGAGCAGCTCTGAGAGGGCTGCTTGGCTCAGGATGGCCATGTCTCTTCCAGACCTCCATTCGGAGCTTCGGTTTCTCAGCAACCCTTCAAATCCTGCTTGGGGTCAGAAGCAGGGTTGGTAAGGGGGAGAAAGCCTGCTGCGGCTTAGCTATATCCTGTCTCCTCTGACGTTCTCTCTGGAAGGGGTACTGAATTTGATGCACCCAGCCAGGCACCTGCAGGGCATGCGGGAAGCACCCAGAAACGCTACTTGCCCTTCCTGTGTGTTGATGTCAGCTCCAATTCACCCTGTGCTCACTGCTGCCAGGACTAAGCTAAGCAAGACCCCATTCAGGGCCTCTGAGGCGGTGCTGTTAACCCCATTCTGCACGTAAGGAGATAACTCTTGGCAAGGCAGATAGTTTGTCTGAAACTATCTATTTAACAAATAAAAATACTTAAGAGTTTGGAAACAGGGCTGTTTTGCCTTCAACATGTTTTGAGGTGCTGCATCTTCAAATATAACTGATTGAACAGGCTGGAAAGCTGGAAGTTTTGTTGTTTTCTCTCAGTAACGTACAGCTGCTGTGATATATTTTTTTAAGCTTTCGTATCTCTCTCTATGCCCACAGTACAGATATTTAGTGACCTTACTGGCCGCCTGGGGATACCCTAGGAAGAACTGGATCTTACTACAGAAATGAAAAGAAACTATAATAAAACCCCATATTGATGATTTAATTTAAAAGCCAAATCTCCAAGGTCCTTCACTAACATTATGGGCTGAATTGTAATCCTCTCAGCCAAATTCAGATGTTAGAGTCCTAACTCCGGTATCTCAGAATGGCCTTGTATCAGAGATCAGGCCTTTAAAGGGGCAATTGAGAGAAAAGGAGGGCACATGGATGAGGCCTAGCTCATCCAATATGACTCAGGTCTTCAAAGAAGAGCAGATTAGAACTCAGAGAAAAGCCAGACAAGCCCTCCAGAGTCACAAACCCTGCTGACTCATGATTTTGGACTTCCAGTCTTCAGAAATGTGAGAAAACAAATTTCTGTTGCTGAAAACACCCCGCCTGCAGTACCTGGCTATAGCAGCCCCAGCAAGCTGATAAAAATGGAGCTGAATAAATGACCAATATATGAAATTAAGAGCTTTCCTGGTTATTCGAGTTTCCCTTAAAAATAAAAAATCTAGGCCAGGGAAGCAAACTGAAATAGCTCCAGATTGAATCTACTACGAAGAAAATTCGAGTTCTTTCACAAATTATTTTACTATACTGGAATTTTATCACCCTACATGGGACCTGACTGAAAGGGTTAGGGTCTGCGGCCCTCACAGCCTGTTATTCAGTCTAGCTTAACAAAGCTTATGATCACAAAATCTGAACTGAAGGAAAATTGCAGAGGCTTTCTGGATTTCTTCATACAGCTTACTGTGGAAAGAGTGACTGTCTGCAGAGTTTTACTACGTTTACTATATAGAGACAAATACAGAAGTACCTGAGAAAGTATGGCCACGTCTTCTCTTAAAATCAGAAGAAAATCTGTATATGACTAGTGGAAAGAGAAGTCTCAGAAGAAAAAGAAGAAAAAAAAAAAAACAAGAATGAATTAAATCTTATCCAAAAACATTAAAAGGGATTACTATTACAGAAGTCCCTTTCAGTTTCAATTTACTAAATATTTTTAAAATGGATGCATGGTACTTTGGGTGCAATTAAAATTAGAAATTGACCCTGAACTCAAATACTTTTTGACAGACTATGAGAAAAAAAGACACAGACAGAATAGCCATCATTTCATGTAGACTTTGGTAAAATCTGTAATGGAAGTGAAAAATGTAAGGAAACCACAGAGGACAAAGTAACTCTAGCTAGGGTCCCAGGCTGATGCCTGTCAGCAGAGGCAGCATTCACGTCAGGTCTGGAAGTTGCAGTGCAGGAACTTTCAAGGCAGACGGATTAACACGAGGAAAAACAGATGCTGAGCGCAAATCATGTTCAGTGCAAAAGCAGAAATCTGACATGCTCGGGTGAAGGGAAGCACTGAGAGGACGGAGCCGCTGACCCTGTACTTGAAATCAGGAGTCAAAGGGCTGGGTTTGAATCCTGGGTTCCCCATTGACTAGATTTTTGCCCTCTATATCCATGGCTTCAAATGCCCCATCTGTGAAAAGAAGCCAATGATTCAAACCTGAGTGAATACTCTGTATGAAGTCTCTGCCTAGCCAAGCTTGATACGCAATAAAATTGGGGTAAATGTTAGCTGAACCAAAATGGTTTAGATGTGACTTCATAAGAAACAAGGAGCCAGTAAAGGTTTTAAGCATGGAAATAAAATGACCAGAAGTAGACATTTGGAAATTTATCCCAGGCATGTGGCCTGAAAGAGAGTGCAGCCATTGTGTGGGAGGGTGTTACACAGTGCGGCTTGCAGGCAGAGAGAGCCTGAAGCAGGGCTGTGCTGGTGAAGACAGGAAGGAGGTGAGAGACTTCATTGGAGAGAAAATGGCACCAGGATGTGCACCTTGGGGCTTGGACTGCTGTTCAGAAAATTAGATTCTGGTCCTGTGGCTCTTTTCTCAAGTAGACATGACCTCTGTTGAGCTACCTCTGTTGATTTTCAGTTTTCACATTTATAAAATAAAGAGATGGAAAATTCCTAAGTATTCCTAGAGCACTAAATACCTCATGCTTATTTGAATCAATGAGACTTGTTAAGCTGATTAGACGAGAGAGTTAAACCAGAAGGGAGGCAGAGACATTGAAGAGACTATGAAGGAAAAAGCTGTACACGTGACTTACCAGTGGTGCTGGCATCACTAGGAATAGGGAAGAGAGGAAAATGAACAGGTCTGTGGGAGAATATGATGGATGTTATCCTAACAATTGGAGAGGCTGTCCTTCAAACGATTTAACAGGTAGTTAAGAATATCCACAAAATTAGTTATTTTAAAAGATCTCCTAGGCTGTGTAAACATCAGATTTGAAAACAAATAGTTGCCTTTAATTTATAGATTCTCTTCATTGGAGACTCAACCAACAGAGGGATCATGTACTATCTGATCGAAAGGCTGAATGAAACGTTGCAGGAATGGCAGAAGGTGCATGGCACTAAATTCTACCACAACGTCAATGGCGGGAAGACCGTGATCAGTTACTCCTACTATCCTCAGTTCTGGATGAGCCCTTCCTTGAGACCAACATTTGAAAAAGCACTTGAACATCTCCTGCAGAGGTACAAAGGATCTAGTATGGAGGACTCAGTGCCACAGTGTACTGTGTTTTACTAGCGCTCATAATTGCTCACTGTATATTAAATGTGCCAAAAAGCTTACATAGCAAGTAATGTGGCTGAAAATGAGTTGGAAGTGGCAAGAGGGTCCTGTGATCAGGATGCCAGACATGGGTCAATGAAATGTGAGGCAATGCAGTTACGATATTTACCATCTGTCTTAAGGCAACATGTGTTGATTTTCTTTCTGGATTTCAGATCACGTCCCCTAGAGAATACCCGTCGGACTGTACTGGTTGTTGGTGGTGTTCAGTGGCTTAATTCCAATCACCTGCAAATTATTCACAAGGTTTTGAAGAGGTAAATTTGCATTCTAGATTTGTAGCAATGTCATTAGTATTCTAAGTCAAAAAAAGTTAGCATTGATGTGACTTTCATCCAGATTTTATTTAAAGAACAACGTGTAATTTAGAGTTACGTAAAGTCTACTTCTGTATCCAATTACAGCATGGCTCTTTGCTATCCAAATTTACATTTACCACAGATTGAAACATGTCCAGTGACACTCTATCCTCAAAAAAAAAAAACAAAAAACAACCCTAATATACATCAAATTTATAAAATGGGAATTTAGTCTTATGTGCCAATAATCACATTCTTAAAAAATTCCACCATGCTTGTTTCATAAACAAGAAACATCTAGAAATGTAGAAATTGATGTTAGTGACTTTTGAATTTTAATTATTTCATTCAGGGAAAACTTACTCAATATCCTAGTGATCATCAAAACTTTGGGAATTGGATTTCATCTCCCAGCAGATGGAGTGCATTTCTTAACACAGGTAAGCCCGTTTCCTCTGGGCTATGTGAACTTCATTGTACCTATAAGAATCCCTGCTGAAAAAGACCTAAAAGGCATTGTATAATATTGAGCAAAAATCAGAGGAGATGACATACTTAAGGATTATGACTTCAAATCAGTTATAATAATTTCTGGAGACAAGAAGGCCATAGTCCACAATGTGTTATAAATAATGCATTAAGTTCATAAAAGGAGAAAGGGGGTGCCAAACTAGGCAAGCATAAAGAAGAGAGGGGTATCCGAGGGAGACTGTGACTCAAGTCTCTCTCACACCACCAATGTTGCACACACCTTTAAAGGTTGCATGGAAAGGCTTTCCTGTCCCCAGGGTCATGCTGAAACTACAAATGAAATTGTTACTATCAATGAGTCCTTTGGGAAAGAGTGGTCTTTTTGAAGATGATTTCTGTCTGATTGCTTTAAACAAAATCATCTTTGAAGTAGTATCACTGGTTTTTCCTCTGGTTGGATGTTCAGAAATGAAAGGAGTTAGGGCCTCTGACCAGTTCTTGTAGAAGACTGTAAATTAGTCTCAGCACTAACTAGAAGTCTCTGGAAAGAAAAGAAAAGACAATATCTGTAAGGAAAAGAACCAGCTGCTCTTGCTGAAGCAAGGAGAGTGCGGGAGGAGCTGAGAGTTCGTGTGCAGTCGCAGAGTGATGGCTCCGGGCAGCCCTGGGAACTGGGAGAAAGGAGGCTGTCCATTTCATATGTATGAAGGAGGCCGAGATTTATTTTTGTGTTTGTGTTTCAAGCTCCTCACTTTCCCCAACACAGAACACACAACCCTTCTCCCCCCTTTCTCAGAATTGTATCTGCCTAGACACCTTCTATGATACAAAAACAACAAAATTGGTTAGGAAGCGGCCAAAATAAAGCCTCCGAATTCAACATCTTGGTGGTAGGAGAGGTCTTTGGTAATTTAAAATAAGTTAAGGCATTTAACACCTGGGGCAGTTGAAGGGTTTGGGAATATGTAGGGTCAATTTTCTAATTACAACTTTTTTGAAAATTTTTGCTATGGGTTTTGAGCTGGATCCCTTCAATGTTATTTGGAGGCCACAGGTCAGGATTGCAGTCCCTTCTTGAAGACTGGTGGCTCCACTGGGCCTCTTTGATTGCGGCTCCCCACAGCAATTGGAGTACTTGTAGGCACTGCTTATTCATCTCAGCAAATGCTTCTTTAGCACTTACTGCGATGTTTACTGTTGAACATTAGGCCTGTCTCATGGGCTTTGATGGTGCTCATCAGTCTTTTCAAAGTGAGTGAGGGCCGCAGGAGAAAAGGAGGGGGCAATGAATAGACACACACAAAAAAGAGATAGTAGGGTGGTGCCTGTGGCTCAAAAGGGTAGGGTGCTGGCCCCATATGTCAGAGGTGGCAGGTTCAAACCCAGCCCTGGCCAAAAAAAAAAACAAAACAGAGATGGTAGTAAGTAAAGGCAGAAAACAAATCTGAACTTCTCATCATATGCTTGTGTAGCCATTTAAGACCAGCCTCTGCCTTCCTCTATGGATTCTCAACCTGTGGGTCATGATCCACTGGGACTGTATGAAAGGGCCATGGCATTAGGAAGGTTGAGAACCACTGCTCTATGGGCTTGTTCCTTGGTACCAGAGCATATGTACACAAGTGCATGCACACACTTCTGCCTTAATACACATGTGCATGCACACACATGCATGTGCACACACACATGAGTGCACTCCTATAACACCACCAAGCTCAGTCAGGCTGAGTGTGTTTCAGCTTTTCAAGCACGTCATGCTGTCTGTCTCCTCCAAGCCTTTGAAATCGCTGTTCCCTCTTCCGAGAGCCCACTTTTCCACCACACCCTTCAAGTGTTAGCATGAATGCTATTTGCTCTGAGAGAACTTTCCTGACACCCTGGCCTCGGCTGGCTGCTCCTGCCATGTAGTCCTCCACTAGTGGCTCATGTCCTCCTCCCTGGCACTCAGCATGTGTGCTCTTCACTGATCCGTCTCCCCTGCTAGACCGTGCCTGCTGTGTCCTGGGATCTGTGTGGCTGTAATGTGTCTGATGTGAATGCAGAGGAAGAAGGAAGGATTGGGTGGGAAGAGCCTTCCCTTGCAAGTCAGTTCTGGGGAACTTGGCCAGGTGAGCACCCAGCACCCCTGGTTTGGAAGGGAGCAGGAATATACTCTGATGGGGACAGACGGGCACCCCTTCAGTTGGCCCACCAATGGCTTCCCTGGGCCTTATTACTGTGGTATAGTGTGGGAGCAGACAGAGCCTATGGCAGGGATATTGTGGAGGCTTACTACCGAGCCTGTTTGTATGCCAGAGTCAAGATTGCTGCAACCAATGCTGAGGTCATGCCTGCCCAGTGGGAATTCCAAATTGGACCCTGTGAAGGAATCAGCATGGGAGATCATCTGTGGGTGGCTCGTTTCATCTTGCATCGTGTGTGTGAAGACTTTGGAGTGATAGCAACCTTTGATCCCAAGCCCATTCCTGGGAACTGGAATGGTGCAGGCTGCCATACCAACTTCAGCACCAAGGCCATGCAGGAGAAGAATAGTCTGAAGTACATTGAGGAGGCCATTGAGAAACTAAGCAAGTGTCACCAGTACCACATTCATGCCTATGATCCCAAGGGGGGCCTGGACAATGCCCAGCGCCTAACTGGATTCCAGAAACCTCCAACACCAATGACTTTTCTGCTGCTATAGCCAACCATAGTGCCGCATCCGCATTCCCTGGACTGTCAGCCAGGAGAAGAAGGGCTACTTTGAAGACCGTCATCCCTCCGCCATCTGCCACCCCTTCTCGGTGATGGAAGCCCTCATCCACACGTGTCTTCTCCATGAAACTGGCGATGAGCCCTTCCAGCACCCAAACTAAATGGACTGGACTTCCAGCCATTGAGCCATTGAGCCCCTTTGAGTGGTTCTCCATCCCACTCCAAATCTTCACCCCTCTCCCAGTTGTCCCAATTGTAACTCAAAAGGGTGGAATATCAAGGTCTTGTTTTTATTCCTCAAAAAAAAAAAAAAAAAGAGAGAGAGAGAGAGGTAGAGTCAGTGGAGCTGTCCCTCCCCTCCCCACAACAGAGCAGACCTAATTAGAACTTCGGGACATGAGGGGGTGGGAGGGAGGAATGTGATCCCCAGTAGCAGCAGCTGGGACCTTCCCTCAATTCTGCTGCTTCCCAAAGCACTCCCCACCCTCTTTACCCCATCCAACCAGCAAACCTCACTCGAGGCTACTTAGGAACCCTCTTAAAGCTCACTGTCCAGCTGCCTCCCAGCCGCTGGAAAAGCCACTTCTGTTTCCAGTACTAGCCAAAGTTTGGTGTATTTATCTCCAATAAAGAACTCGCTAAATGTTTATGTATCTGTTTCTCCTATTGGAATGGTCTGTCGGGAGAACAGAAACCATGATTTCTTTATCCTTGTATTCTTGTCCCTCAGCAAGAGTTAAGCAAAAGCAGATGCTAATTAATTCTCAAGTGATCAAACGGCTGAGAATCCAAAGAGGAGGTAGTATTTGAGATTCCCAAATGCTGATTGTTAAATTAAGAATGTTAAATATTTTGATGGGTTTTTATGGAAGGGAATGTAAAGTGATGTGCCACTATAGGTATTTGTGCATTGCTATATTATCTATGTGTAAATGGTTACACTATGTTTTAGGTAAGGAAAACAAAGAACACATCTTTACTTAGGAAATCCATGTGAAAATCTTTATCTTACAAAATGACCAATCCCTGTGAAAAAGAGGACATGATTTCTGCCTAAGTCATTAAATCATCAAATAATCCTCATTCTTTTGCTTTGCAATACAGAGTGAAGTACGGAATTTATGGAAAGAAAATGTGATTATTCTGGATACTGCAAAGAAATATGGCTATGAAGTGGTTGACACATTCACCATAACAATGGGAAGATACAAAGAATTTCTGCAGGGGAAGTGTGCATGTCATTTTCATGAGGTATTTATGTTGGCCGTCTGATGTTCACAGCTTTTGATAAAAATATTTGGTGGTATCTTTAGTAGCGTTGTTGGTCTAATTTATATGAAAAACACAATGTCAGGAGGAGATTACCTGGTTATTCATCATCACTCAGCTGAGGCAGTCACAACCTTGATTCTATGAAGTGTTCAAAAATTAATGTTTATTTGCACACTTCAAAACGAGGACCACTGAGAACCTGGAACTGGATCACCTTTGCTGATAGACTTCAAGGCTTTCCATCAGAAATTTCTTCCGAAGAAGGTGGCGAAAATCTTCAGTGGAGACAGCTTGCAAAATCAAGTCTATTTAATGTGCTAAACCAACGAGAGCCTTTCCTCCACTAGCTTATCCAATGCGTAACACATTGCATTTTTTTTTTTTTTTTGTAGCCAGGGGGAAGATTATTTTATTTGTAGCCAGTAAATAAATAGGCTTAGCTGATAAAGTGATAGCTAAAAAAAAATTTATTCATTTCCTGCCTGTCTTTTCGAACTCCTCTGTGGATTATTTCCTCTCTCCCACTTGCATAAAATCTTAGGTAGATCCTATAACTTTAACACCACTTGCAGATAATAAAAGGTCTCTGATCACTTTAAGGCATGGGAGTAACATTTCAGTACTCAAATTGTCCAGTCTTGGGTCAAAGCCCTGTAAGTCAATCCCCTCCACCAGCTCACATCAAAAAGTGGGGACGAGAACACAGGAGGCTTCTTTGCTGTTTCCCCGTCTTGCTCTCTACTCTTCTACCTCTCTCTGCCTTGGACCAGAGTAGAAAGGAAATGTTAAGGACAGGAAGGGTCTCTCTCAACCAGTGCAGGCACAGCCCAGTGGTGCAGTCTTGGAGTAGAACTTATTTCTTTTTTAAGAGTGCTTTTGTGAACTTCCTTGAAGCCCACTCTACCACCCAGGATTTTCTGATTACAACTTCATGGACAGATGCAGTGTCTCTCTTGCAACTGGATTCCTTCTCTGGTCCCTTGGCAACCAGCTGTCCATCACTCTGTTAAGGGACCTGTTGCCCCTCCAGGGATCCTCCAAAAAAACATTCAAAATAGCGCTGCTCTGGCAACACTTCAGTGCTCATAGAAATCCTCATACATCCTTGTTCTGCTGCTGCTGGAAATGCAGCTAATCCCCAATGTCACCTTCTCCCTCTGCCACTTGAAAGCCACAGCATATTGTCATACCAGTTCTCCTGCCCCTCGAACCCCAACACACGTGTGCTCAGCTCTTCCAGCTGATCTCTTGAAGGCCTCTGCCACTTGGCTTAAGGCAAGAATGAGGCAACACTCCAAAGGGCAAGAAGACCACGGAGTATTGGAAAACACACAGGAATTCTGTTTCTTCCTTCTTTGTCACACAACTCTTCTGCTGAGACAATGGTTTGCAAACCTTGATTTCATCCAGACATGCTTGGAATATCAGGTTTCTTGGCTAATTGTTCTGTCTTGTTTGTCTCCTTCTGAAAACCAAGATTCATTCATTAGTGGATTGACCAGTGATGTAACAGCTGAAGTTTCCTTCAGATTCTGTTTTTTCAGCCCTATGCTGACTGTCGGCATCCATCTTGGTTCTACCTGATTTCCTGATGGGTTCAAGTCATCCTTTTATATGACCAATAGAACTGCATCTCAGGGATGTGACAGGCTGCAGCCACGGCAGAGAATGTGACATTTTAAATTGTGATGTAGCTTCTTGAAGGCTGGCTGTGCTGCTGCACAACAGATTTTAAGCTGTAGGATGCTATGTGGCTACGAATTTCTTCCACAAAAAACAGAGCCTGTATCCTATTTGCAAAAACTTGAAACTTACAAACACAAGGCCAAGTGGTAGTGGCAAAGGGCAAGAAGCAATGAGCTTGCTGCTGAGGCAGGTCAGGGTTGCATTGGCCACAATAGCCCAGCCAATGGTTACAGAAAATGGGGACTTTGAAAGACAACAGATAGATTGGTTTTTTAGGGGCGGAAGCATCTTTTAAAGATAATCTATTTATTCATTTATGTTTACAGAATATGTCTTCAATTCACATTTGGGGGGAAGATCTGTGTTTCTTTTTCAGCTTTAGTGCTCTGAAAGTCTACAAAGGAAATGCCCTTCATGATTTAAAAAACAAAATAAAACAAAACAATTTCCAGAATGGTTCAAATTAAAAATAAAATATGCCCTTCCCACATGATTGCATTGCATGTATCTCCTGCCACAATGTCAACTGACTAACACTGGGAGTCATGAGATCTTAAAACCACAAAAAAGGCTCTTTGAACACTCAGCACTAGAATTTTGGTAGTTAATTATCACTAATAAAAACTAATCTTAATTTGCATAGTAATGATTCATGCAGGTCAGGTAAAATTATTTCACTTATGTGATTTTATGGGGTTTTTTTGTGAGTAATCATCATGTACAAATTGCTTTTTCTTAACTCTCTTTCAAATGTATCCTGTCTTAATGGCAAGCCATGCAGGTCTCCCCCAAATTATACAGCTGATTCCTCATGTTTGAGGTAAAATATGCTTCTGGGAGAATTTGCCTTTCCAGTTACAACATAGAACTGATAAGATCATTTTTCCCAACTGACTCTCTTCATGATAAAATCTCTCAACTCATTCATTGCTTAGGCATAAGGATTGCTTAACTCTTAAACAATTTGTACCACCTAAACCTCAAGAAGTCTCTGGAGCTGACATTGATATTTTATGATCTTCCTAAACCATCACCCAACATCTTAAACCACTGAGAGCTTACTTCCAACAACCAAAACAACTCTAAAACTCTTTGTAAGGGATGGCTTGATGATGAATGGAGCAAGCCAGGAAAAAGTTGATCACTAGTCTTGTGCAAAATACATGAAGGGGAAGAAAGTCTGTTGATAACTTTTATTTTCCTCTGCATTCATCTTATGAGATGGGCAAAGAAAATTTACTATAAAATAATAGGAAGAATTAGAAACAATTATATTAGAACCATAAGAATTCCGGCTTAGAGGCCTTGTATCTTCTGGTGTTCAACTACACTATTCCCACAATAGTTTCAAGGATGCCTGAGAAGGATTGGTTTAACCATTAACATAGATCTTCATGTTTCCTCTCTGGTTTGTGGTCAGAAGATTCTAGAGTAGACATAACAATCCTGCTTCAGTGAGCACTTGTGGCCGCAGATGAGATTAAAGGTCTTGAGGTGTCTCTTTCATCTGTCACGGCATCGAAAGAGAATACATTGCCAACGAGAATCCATAAACACTTTCTCAACTGGTGTGCATCAATTTTGACTAAAATGTTCCTGCTGATTAGAAAAGCAGGTGTTTCTTTTCAATGGTGAAAATAGAATTTTATTGCCCCGATGTTTACGCAAGACAGAAAACAGGATCCAGGTAGCTCTTGCCCAAGAGAGGTTTGGATCATGCCTTTAGTCATGTGGTAAACATCTCCTGTGAACAAGCTAAGACCTGGAAAAGATATGATAATACTATCAGCCCAAACCGGCCTAAAGAAGGGGACAATCCACACCAATTGTTATGTGATTGCTAATTACTGTAGTAGGTTGTATAAGCTTCACATAGTATCTTTCTTTTCCAGCAAATGTAGCTACAGCTTTTGACACAGTCAACAAAATTAGTACTGGAATCACTAGTACTAATTCCAGCAGGTTTTCTTTGATTTTGGCATAACAGAAAAAGTAAGAAGGGAGTTTCAGTTCTTTGATAGAGATGGCTTCCCAATATTAATTAATCTTAATATTATAATCTTTATTATTTAATCTTAACTAACTAAACAAAAATTATTTGGCCTAGAAGTAAAGTGTTTTACTTTCTCCATTCAACTTTGAAAGTTTGCTATCTAAACACAATTTAAAAAAAACTTTAAATTCATCTACCTAAAAATCTGAAATAAATAATGAGTTTGAGGGAAAAAAAATGACTGAATTATCCAAATGTAGTTAGCTAATATAGAAGAACCCAGAAGTTAACTATCAACATGGCCATTTTTATTCATCATTTTTTAAAATTAAATCATAGTTGTGTACATAATGCAATCATGGGGTACAATGTGCTGGTTTTATATACAATTTGAAATATTTTCATCTAACTGATTAACATAGCCTTTGTGGCATTTTCTTAGTTATTGACTTAAGACATTTATATTCTACATTTAGTAAATTTCACATGTACCCTTGTAAGGTCCACTGTAGGTGTGGTCCCACCAATTACCCTCCCTCCACCCAACCTTCCTCCACTCCCTTCCACTGCTGCCTCTCACCTTTCCCCATATTCTTGGGCTATAATTGGGTTATAGCTTTCATATAGTATGGCCATTTTTAATATATTAGTAATTATAATTTAACTTATAGTTAAATCATATAGTATAGTTCTTGGGTTATAGCTTTCATATAGTATGGCCATTTTTAATATATTAGTAATTATAATTTAACTTCACAGATGTTTTTAGGTATTCTTTACAAGCATTATACTACTGCTATAAAATGGGTTAGGAGAACATCTTTATAGGGCTCTCATAACTATCTCTAAAGGAACACATTCCCCCCCAAAGAATTAATATTTTCTTTAAACTTTCTTCCCCTCTGGTATTCCCTAATTCACTCCATCACACTACATTTATATAGACCAGTGCTCAATTCCCCAGGTACCAAGTTCTAGGTTCTTATACATATGAAATATTTTTGCAGGTTTTTCCCCTGTTCTCCATTCTGGTTGCTTTGACCTTGTTTAACCATTTACTTAGTCATCCAGCATTTATTTATGTGAGTCCAATTCTTGAGCCAAATGGTGATACAAAAATAAATAAAGACATTCTCTGCCCTCCAGACATTGCAATCAGGTTCAGGCTTAAAAACCCTTATTATGAAACAGTATGTTAGGCAGGATGTTGGTGATATGTAGAGGTTATTGTAATAGTACTAAGAAGAGTGTTCTAAGGACTGAAGGGACCATCCAAGTTGATTGTTGAAGGATGAAGAGG